TAAAGAGACTCAGATAATTACTTCATGTGTCAATCAGTCTAAATCTAAAGTGATCAGTGCTTTGTTTGAATTGTTCTAATGTTAAAACATTAATTTTAAGAATCTCTGTCAGAGCAGGTCACTGCTCAAGTGATCTTAATTGGTTGAGAATGCAAAAGGTTCATTCTCTGCAGAGTTTAGTTTGGAACATGTGAGGACACATAAGGTGATCTCTATATAAAGCTGCCAAAATCTAGCTCCCAAGAACATTCAAATGTTTCGTCACTTGCCCTACTCTCCTTTCCTACTATGTTAAACTGAGACATTGTTCTTCTGATAGCTACCATGTAGCACTCAACCTGAGCCATCCTGTACACCCGTGTGCCCTTTCTCCTGGGCATGGGCTACTCACACCATAGGTCACATCCTGCACAGGTAAGTGGGGAGTAAGTAGACCCTTGACCCTATTCTCCCCTACCCAGTATGCACTCACCAGCACACCTGAGCTGGGCAGAGGAGGAGAAGTAACCTGCAACAGGAAGAGGGCTGTGGCATGGAAAATGGTGGGCGTGGGGGGAACCAGGACCATATTGTGACTCAGAGGGTGGGTTTTCAAAAGCACCTAACTCACTTAGGAGCCTTGAGAATTAATGGAATTTGTGCACCTAAGTTGCTTACGGGCTTTCAAAATTCCCACCCTTTGAGTCACAGCCTGGTCCCTGCTGTGCTACTGGGGAAGCATGGCTACATGATGCCCCTTATTCAGAGCAATTGTACGGTGCCAATCTAGCTTGTAGAGAGAGAACATTGCTGTGTGTCAAATTGAAACTGGAAAGGAAAAATAAAGTGTGATTATACAGTCTGGACAAATACACTAGGGGCCAGATCATGGACCACACACTGTGGCAAAAAACCACAAGGAGGGGCATGCAGATCTGTTCTTCCCCAAGGAGAGCTACAGGAAGAAAGATGGTAGCAGTGCAGATGCTACAGCTTGGTAAGAATCCAGATACCTGCCTTCTTAACAGAAGAGGCTACCATCAAGAGACCACTGTGCATAGTTTCTTCCAGGAGCTCCAGTCTGCCTATGCTGTTAATGCAAATTCTTGATCCTGGTCGGCAAAGCCATCCGAAGGGCAGGACCCATCCTAAGCAACGACAGCATCTCCATCCAGGACTGCTTTTATGCTCTTTGGGACTATACAAATAAAACCCAAAGCCAAGCACATGAGAGAGAGAAAGTGCCCAGTTCTTTGTGGCCCTAAGGGCCCTTTATGTTGCTCTGACATAAACCAGACAGAAGCGTCCGCCTGAGAATCTCCCCAGCTGAGCTGTTGACCTACCACTCTTGTAGCCTGTATAGTCATAGCTAGATACAATTGCTAATTACTTAAACAGCCTAATTTCTTCAGATATATCCTAATCATACAATTTCAATTAATGTAACTATATAAACAGTTTGAAGAATGCATTATTGTGTTATTAAGATCATATGGTCCTAAGAAGTGCCTAACATAGATGCTAGTTTTCTTAAAGAACCCAGCTTCATTAATTCTAACAAACTAATTAACAGATTTACTTGTAAATTCTCAGATAATGAATTCTATACTCAAGTAAGTTTGGGAGGATCTGCTTCCCTCCCTGCCCCTCCATGTTCATAACTGGGAGGCTGAAATCATTCTAGAAGTGCAAAAGTCAACCTTAACTATGGTGTCACAACCAGGGCCTCCATAAAAAATTCCTTCCCATCCCAGATTCTAGTCACAGTCTGATTAAAACTCCCTAGTTTTTTATTAGTAAAATTTAGTTCAAACTCCTATGGATAATTCAGGGCTGGGGGGGGGGGGAGGGAAGCTCCTACTCTTTTTTCCATAATCCTCGTAAATGGGGAAGTAAAAGATTTGGTTTTCATGATATTCTGGGAGACAGTGGGAGGGGAGGAATAGGTGGCTAGAAAAAAAAACAGTTTAAGAAGCAAAACCAACTCTTTTCAGGTCTTATTTATACATCATAATAAAGAAACAAAAAGGCATAAAACACATGTTTTTCATTTGCAGGATACCTTAAAGGCCACTACTGGTTTGGGTCAAATCATGGAATCATTGTTAATATGGTATATAATATTCACACACAGGCTTCTTGTTTCATCAGGCAATAATTAGGCCTTTGAGTCAATAAATATATCCATCTCTGCGTATGTGGGACCCATCCTCCAAATTAGTATATTTTATTTTCACATATACCCAGAGCTCCTCTGCACATCTCATAAAGAGGAAGCCACATGATGAGGCACAGCTCACCTCTCTGATGTCCAGATGTGTCACTCTGCCACAGTTCCGACTATAGGCATGCTTTCCTGGTAAGATGATCTGAGGCTTTGTCCCTCTGGCCCCAGAAAAAGTCCTCTCCTTGCAGGACAAAACCAGGGAGTCCAAACTAAATAAGTCCTCCTGTATCCTCCCTCAAACAACAAAAAAACCAAACCAAAATACTGTACAAGCCCTTTTGTCCTCTGTGACTGGCCTCATTGGTCTTTTTTTCTCCCCAGATTTGTTCTCCTACGCCTTCCATCTCAGTGAAGAGGTTCCCCAAGTCTCTTGTATTACAGGCTGACCACTGTTCCATTGCCTTCCTAGGCTAAAAAGTTTATCATCTACAGAGCTCTGTAGATAGTCGACCTCCTGTCAGTGGCAGATTTCTCTCTCTCTCTCTCTCTGGACTGATTGTGTCATTATATCAGCTCACACTTTCCAGGTGCGACAGCTGAGGTGTCAGAGAACCTCAGCTCTCCTTTTCCCTCAGTTCCAGTCTAGGGACCCTGAGAGTGAAGTGGCCATCTCATTCACTAACACCCCACCCTGCCTCACTTCCCCCAAGCCACTTCCTACACTGCCAATCCCTTCCTTGGGCCTTCATAGCCAGTTCCCTCACAGGCTCTGTTCTTGGCTCCCTTTCTACAAGGAACTCCCCTGGCTCTTGGTGCGTGTCCCCAGTCTGCCATTATTCTACCCCAGGAATCTCTCAGCAGTGAACTAACTATCACTGATCTGTCTCCACAGCCCAGTTATTGATGAGCCTCCCAGCTCATTGCTTCTCCTACCAATACCATCTGCCCCACCCCGAGAGCAGGCTGCCTTTTACGTATCCTAGCTGGCCTGCCTCTCAGTCACCTGCTCTCTGGACTGCCAGTCCCAAGACCCAGGAATAAATTAGAGACAGATGATAGCTGAGCCTGAATTCCCTTTAAAGGGACAGCTCACCCACATACAAGGAACAGCATATTATTAAATAGAACATTCCACCATTCGTTATCAAGCAGCTACAATACAACAAATGTATACTGCCTACTTCTAAAACAGGGCTCCAGATCAGAAACTGAAAGGGGGGAAAAAACATAATATGATGCAGTCAGACCAGGACTGCAACACAGATAGTTTAATATAATATGCATTCTCCAGCACACATGCACCTCTTTTGTCTCTTGACTGAAGGGTCCATTCAGCTTTATTTAGTAGCGTCTCAGCCATGGTGTGACAGCATCTTTTTTTCGACGTATGAATACGGATTTTCCCCCTCCAGTAGTATACTTTTTGTTTATTTAAACAGCTTTACTCCTTTTATTCTGACTCCAGAATGCTGCACAGTTCCAGGAGCACTATATTGTCATCACTGAAGAAATTCCGTGCTACTCAAATGTTCATTAGACATGACAGTATTTGTTCATAGCATGATGGCAATTGGTTACAAAAAAAGTTGCATTGGATAAAATTGTAATCCTAATATTCTAGTAACAGTTTAAATATTATACATGTGTTAAGCTTTTAACATTATTTCTACATCTTCTGTTTTATTTCATGGGCTGTGTCAATAACTAAACCACCCCTCCTCCTCATTTCCACTCATTGGTCGTGACTGGATGTGACATTTGATCCATTATTGTCTAAAGTCTATGTTAGGATTGCCTACTGGCTTAGTAGGAGGCAATCAGAGAATTGCTTCCTCAGGCCCCAAGTCAGCAGTCCATCCCTGTTCAACAAAGCACCTAGGGACAGGCTTACGTGCTTTGCTGGTTAGGGATGAACTTAAACATGTGCTTAAATGTTTTGCTGATCTGGGGCCAGGGGTAACAGACATCCTGCAGCAACAGGATCATCTCTGTTGACATCTCTCCAATGATCCTCTCAGACCTTACAAACTAAGCTGTGGGTGAGTCAGGTCAGACCTGAGTGAGAGAACTCTAAGGTGCTCTAGGAAATGGTGCTGATGATTCCCTAGGTGGTATGCTTTCTGCTGAATTGGTCTTGAAGTAATGCCCTGTGATGATAGGGTCAATGAGCTGTTTCATTTTGGAAGAGAGAGGTCTTCTAAGTCCTGACTATTAATGAGCAAGAAAGATCACATAGTATTAACCCAGGTAATTCAGCTAAATTTCTGTTTACGTAAATTCCTTGTGCTGTTTCAGTTGGATAAATTATTCTTCACTTGTTGCCCTGAACTGATGCTGTGCTCAGTTAAATAATTGCCATGTCTCCCTTCTCCCCCACAAGTGGCTGCATCCACTTGGTCCGACCCAGTATGGCTGTTCTTATGAAAGATGCTGTATACATATAAGACTTTATTATCCCTCTCAAAAAAATCAATTTAGGATCCAGTGTTCCACATCATATGCATTCCAAACCACTGGCTGACTGTACTAATGTTCAGTGATGGTTGGGTCACCATTTTGTTATTGGTATTAGGCGGTGAGTTTGCAAATCTTGCCACTGCTGACAGTGGTCTCTGGAAGGGATGGGTAATAGGAAATTACACTCTGTTCAGGCTGTGGTACTGGTTTTTTCGTTTTTGTTTGTTTTGTATTAAAGAATTCATTGCCACCACCTCCCCCAACTCCATTTTCTTTTCAACAGTGAGAATTACAAGAGAGAGGTGGAGTTTAAAACAACATTATACTAAGATTTGTAGTTCTTTCTTATTTAAACTGCTCTGGAAGTTTCTCAGTAATTTTTGTGTTTCCTTCCTAGAGTCACTTAGCATAAGAAATGATTCCAGGTGCCTGTCAAACTCTTGCCAAAAGAACTCTACATGTGATGCTGCTGCTAAGGACGATTCCTGCCGCTGTGCGGACACAGTTGATATTTTGGGGGAAGACTGCAATAAAACTGATGATCCTTGCTCCTCAAACCCTTGTCTTCAAAATGCTACCTGTTTAAGCACTGCAGGAAACCTCAGCTTTACTTGTGAATGCCCCACTGGGTACAGTGGAACTACCTGTGAAACAGCCATCAGCCTCTGTGACACAAACCCTTGTAGACATGGAGGCACTTGTCAGAATGGCTTGGCTGGCCCGACCTGTGTTTGTAGTGCAGGATACACGGGCATGCTGTGCGAGACTTACTTCAATGTGTGCATTTCAAATCCATGCCACAATGGAGCATTGTGCAGGGAAGGAATTGACGGGTACTCCTGCTACTGTGTCCCAGGCTACCAAGGCAAGCACTGTGACCTGGAAGTGAATGAATGTGATTCAGATCCCTGCTTGAATGGGGCTACGTGCCTGAACCAGATAGGCAAGTATGACTGCATCTGCCCAGCTGAGTACATGGGTAAGCTCTATTAAAGAGATCTTTTTTCATTTTGACATGCAGAGCAACTTTATGTTCCAAGCTATCTTTCTCACTGTTTATTTATTCACATTTTCATAACAAAGTTGGATCAAGTTCTCTGCTGAGTGCTGCTGCTTTTTGGGTTATCACATCAGTTTTAGAGATGGAAGGATTCAGGAAGTTTCACATTACACAAAATCTACAGAACATTTGACAGAGATCAACCTACTTCACAGACTTTGAATAACTTTCCTCTTAAAGCAACCTTCTTAAACTGGATGTGCTCAGAATGCTACACCATGTGTTTTGCTAATCAAGTAAAATCAGGTGTATTAGATCTTCAGGCATACAATGTTTCAAAACTTCAGACTGAGATCCCCTGGACTGGATTTATCTGCCAAGCTCTTTGGCCTTTGCATTTGCTTTTCAGGATCCCTTTCTTCTGCCTTCACAGCCCCTTCTCTCTCACTTTCTCCTCTGCTGAGAGTTGGGGGTTTTTCAGACTTTTTTCAAATGCTTGATTCAAACTTTCTTTCTTTCCCTCTCTCCATACCCTTGCTCCAAGTCATCTTTCTCCTTCTCCACTTTTTTGGACCTCCATGTCCACTTGATTTTTCTGTCGATCACTCTCACCTACTGCACTGTACATGACTTTACCCTTCATATTGTTTACTTCTAGTTTCTTTCTGTGGTCTCTCCTAGTCTATGCAACATACTGATAGCATATACTCGATCCAGTAGTTTCCTCTACCACTCATTTTCCTGCACCACTTCTCAGCCAGCACCTGCAACCAGTTATGTGGCTAGCTCCCCAGTCAAACACCCTTCCTCAAAACCATGGGAAAAGATTCTGAATGGAACACAAAGCTCAGAAAGTTCCCTCCAGCATGGAAACTGGGAACAGTAGTTTAGTGGGTCCAATGTATTCTAAAATGCATTTTCACCCTCCTCTCATAAGTAGTCAGGTTGATCCTTTAAGTGATGCAGACATTTTATATTTAGAGAGTGCACTTCAGAAGCATGGACATTTGTCCAATGGTCATTAGCATTATGTTCGCCGTGCAAGAGACCTAGATTCATTACCCATATCCAGTTCCTCATTCTTCAAGCTGCTAGTGGTTAAGAGTGTTCGAGAGGCAGCTTACTCCGCCTTTGCTGGCACCTTGCAAAGGTGTTAAGACTATTAACAATGGGCCCTCTTGATCAGATTTTGCCCTGGTGTCATAGCACCTAAGTGTGGGTTAAAAGCCTTAGAAAGATGATAGATGATTACAAAGGTTTAAGAGGAAGATCACTGTGATAAAGCATCAGGCTAGAGGAAGTTCTCTCTGTAGGACTAGGGGAAAATGTCTTTTACCTTTGAAGAAAAATAGATATTTAGAGCCAAACTTTCATCCTTCCACTTTGAACCTACGAAACAAAATTGTGCATTCATAGTGTCTACAAAACCCACGTTCTTTGCACATTCAGTGGCTGCACACACTTTTTTTGTACTTGCCATTTAGCTCCAGTGCCTGAAAAAATTGGCTTTATTGTTAAGGTTATTGAAAAACTAAAATCAATGAACTCCCTCATTATCTAATTGGATTTCATTTGACATCTTAAAGACTACATGGAGTTAGATAACAAAGCCACAAGAAAAAAACAAAACACCACTGTTGGGTTCCAGCACAGCATTTTGAAAATCAAGTGATTTTTTTTTCTTGCTTATCATGTAATTCACTCTATGGGGAAGCACTTTCATGGTTCCAGGTCATTGCTTTAGTCGGCATTCTGATTTTGTGTAATAAACAGTCTCACAGAATGCAGAGCTCTGTTCTTGGACGGCATAGGGGGAGGGTTAGCACTACCAAGCTTTAAAAAAAAGCAGCCAGCGAGATTAAGTGGCTGATCTGTAGTGAGGTAAGGGGAGAAAAAAAAAGGAAAAAAAGCACTAGACAGTATAAAAAATTGTAGCAGTTGCTTCAAGCGATTCAAATGAATAAGAACTAAAAGATGTGGTTTAAAACCCCATCCAAAAACTCCACCAGGGAGTGGAAGTCAGAAGGTAAAAGCAGATTTCTATTGCTGACACAGAATTCATTTGGAAGCCAGCCCTCAGTTAATATCCTTCATGTGCACAGAGAATGTTATTTAAAGGAAGCTTGTTGCCTTCCTGCCACCCTGCTGCTATCAGTGGGTGTCTCAGCCCAGGCCAAGGGATGAGAAAACTACAGAACTAGGGGAAAGCCAAAGTGGAGAAAGAAGGAAAAAACCTATTAGCAAGAAGCATGGCTATTCTGAAATGATCAGACTTGACCCGGACCTCCTGATGTACTCAGGAAGCTGTATTTGTTTAACCTGTGCTGTTAGCTCGATCCAGGGCTGGATCTACAGCACAGGAGATCTGCTTGAAGGAAAGAAGATTGTCTCTATAGAGACAAAGGGAGGGAAAACATAAGAAAGAAAAAAGGAGAGAAATGAAGAATTAGAGCAACACAGATTGTTGGAGGAAGCTCACTCTGCTGGAGTCGCTCTTTTTATCTCAGAGCTCTGCTGTTTCCCAGGCTGAGTCTCTCTGCTCTTCCCAAAATCAGGGACTATCATTCTGATGGAATGTCTACACTGCAATTAAAAACTTGCGAGTGGCCTGTGCCAGCTGGATCAGGCTCACAGGGTTCAGGTTAAGGGGCTGTTTAAATGTGGTGTAGGCATTCAGGCTCAGGCTGCATCCCAGCTCTGGGACCCTCACCCCCTCCTGCCCCCCCCCCCCCGCAATCAGAACACTAAAATTAAAAAAGAGTTAATAGGTGGAGGAAAGAGGTGGAAGCCAAGGAAGGAAAAGAGGTCTTGTATACAAAGCAGAAGAAATTGCACCGTTCTGATGTACAGCTCAGGCATGACTTCCAGCAGTAGTGAGACTAATAACAATAATTCTATAAAGGAGTAGTTGGCTGTTCCTTCAGCAGTAAAATGCCAGCTTTAAAGCCCACTTAACCAAATGATTTATCAGAAGCCATTTTTGTTATTTTCTGCACCTTGCTGTGAGTTGTGTTAAATGCATAAGCCAGAGGGATTATTGGATGAAAGCCCTGAGGTGTCCCCACTGGTAATAAAAATCCTCATTTACTCTGTCAGAGGATCTTGCCAACTGTTATTATCCTGGCCTGACACCATGAATCACAGTGGGAAGTCATCCAACCTCATCTCATTTCCCTAGGATGTTAAAGAGGTTATAACTTTTGATACATAGGTGGAGATTGCACAGTAAATCTACAGCGGTAATGTTAACCAAATGCTTGAGTTACTGGCTTTAGTTGCTACCAGTTTCATGGGCTATCACTGCTACTTTGTGTGATTGGTATGTTGCATGCAATTCCTAAAATAGCTGAGAAATTTCTCACATAATTCTTACACAAATGGGAGAGGTTAGAATGTCTAAAGAGCTGAAGAATGGAAAATGTACCATGAAATCTCTATTTTACTATGATAATGCACTGCATGTGTGAAATTATGTACAAGACGTGTCATACAGCTGTTAAATAATAAAGCTCAATTGGTTTGTCAAACCTTTGCTGGATATGCTGGCAAAATGTAATATTTCTCCATTGTACTAATTACACTTTCATTTCACTTAAGCAAACAGAGCATGGTATAAGAGCCTGCTCCTTGCTGATAGCCAATCACATTTATTATCTAACTAGACACAGTTGAAACCATTGCCAGTAGGTGAACATTTAAGTGTAAATTATCAAATATGTATACTGTGGTTCCAAAAATAAATCCTATTCAGAGACAACAGAAAAGGCCATTTTGATTGCACTTGGCAACAGATCAAATAGATCTAATAGGCCAAATTCATCCTAGGTGGAATTCCATTTAGTACAGTAGAATTATACTTGAGTTGAATTCAGCACAATGTGAGGATATTATTGCATGCCCAAAACTAAGTCCTCACCCTGTCTTTTTGCACTGATGTAATATTTCCAGCAGTAGTGGACATGCCACGCTGGTATTTAGGGTAGCTTTATAAAACTCCATCCTCCTTCCCTGTTGTGTCAGGGCATTGCAATTATGATGCACTAAATTATCCACTTGTAATGATGTGTGATTGCACACATGTATTGACACTATGATTGCTAGGATATATGGGCAGTATGGATAATGACCTACTGCTCCAAAGACATAGAACTCCTCTGTTTGAGCTAAGAGTTTTCTTTTAATTTTCAGTCGTTCAAGAGGTAGGATCCACTTTTCAAGCCAGTCACTAGAAGGTAAGATACTGACACAGAGAGATATGCTACAGGAGCGCTGATATAGTCCATCCAGCACAGGGTAGTTGTACTCCCCCATACAAGTCAGTTTATAATGTTTGCCCATTCTTTCACTCCTGCCATGCTTGGGCAAAATGTAATTTGAAGGCCAAAGTTTCCAAGTGACTGAATCAGTTCCAGAGGTGCTGAGAACCCATACAGCTCCCACTGAGGTCAGAACGGGAGACAGGAGCACTCATCACCTCTAAAAAATCAGCTCACTTATGTGCTTAAATAGGAACTTAGGTGCCTAACTCTGAGCACCCACCTGTGATGCTTTACAAAGCTCCACTAAACATTTATCATCTTCTCCTGAGCTCCCTCTCTCTGACTGGGGCTGTGCATGCAGGTGAATATTTGTGTTCATTTTTGTAATTAGCTAAGAACAGAATGAATAATGGACCTGATTCTGCAGAGCACTTATGCATGTGATTAACTTAAAACACGTGAGCCGTCCCAATGATTTCAATTCAGACTACTCAAGTGCACTGAAGTTAAGCACAGGGTTAAATGTTTTGCTGGATCAAAGGCTAAATGTCTTTTCTTTTATGGGTTAGGCCTGTATATTATGAATAGAGGTTTCTGTTGCTGCGGTTTTATTTTAATTGCCTTTTTACCGTATTTAGGGCAGCATTACAGTTAAACACAGGTACACACCTTTCTTTTCTTGTGCTTAAAATGTCATGCTTCTGGATGTCAGCCCCACAA